TATACGATGGGCGCATATACGAAAAAAAAAAAAAAAACACCCCCCCTTTTCTTTTTTTTTTACTTTTTTTTTTTTAAAAACCTTTTTATTTTTTTTTTCTCCCCCCCCCCCCCCCCCCCCCCCCCCCCCCCTCTTCTTTTTTCACAAGTCGCGGATCACTTGCACGAAAAATTCCCGTCATATAGCAACGGTAAATTGTCCTTATATCGATCGATGCTCGTAAGCTCTAATCAACTTTCAAAATTTGCATGTCAATGGGGTTTGGATAAAATCGCAAACGTTGATTTGACACTTGCAAAAAAAAATCATCGAATCTTGGGTGAAGCTCTCGAGGCATATATTGGTGCTTATTATTTGGATTGTTGTCAAGTGAATGGTAAGAACGGCGCTCATATGAAGGTGAGAGAATTGTGTATCAGCCTAATTGATCCAATGCTTGACTTGATTAATAAAACGTGGAAAGTATGGATTACTATATTTAAAGTTAACTTAAACAATATTTCTCATATTATCCATGATTTTTATGCATTGACATTCCTTTTTTTTTATTTTTTTTACAAATCAACTTGAAATTAGAATGTTATTCATTCGTTTAAATGAAGCCATTCAAGAGAAAAAGACACAAGAAAGATTACAAAGAATAGTAAGCCTTAACTCTAAATATCATCACCATCTTTTTTTTCCTTTTTTGACAACAATCTAATTTGTCAATTCCTCGTAAGAAACTGCACCAAGCCGCAATCAAAGTTATTATTAAGGAAATCAAAGCTGCTAAAGATGTAAATGACGCGCAAGACACCAAGAAAACAAAGTCTAAGAAAGAAAAATTGATTCCTGAAGCTGCTAATAATCAATCCAATCCAGTTTCTTTAAAAGTTGAAACTCCAATCTCGAAAGCTGCTGACACTACAAAGCAACAAATTCCCATTACATCAAAGGATACACAAGAACATACTCAACAACAAGTAAAGGTGATAAAAAAAGCTAAAAAGAAACAACTGGAATCGAAAACTAAAAACACATTGACCTTTAATGTAAAGAAAGAACAAAACATTAAAAACCTTTCACAAGACCTAGTAGCTAAAGATATATCGAAGGAGATAGAATCTAAACATCAAATGCTCAAAGAATTAAAACGCCGGGTTAGTTTCTTAATGATATAGTTCTTATTTTTTAAAAAAATATTATATATATTTATATACTTTCTTATTTTTTCTTAATTTTGCACTTATGACAGAAAAAGCAACAGGAGGAACTAAAAAAATTATCAATTAAACAATTATTGACGCGTCTTAAAAGACTCGTTTGAAATATTCGTCTTCGTGATTCAAGTGTGAGAAAATATATGTAAATTTTGTGGAGTTAGATTCATAAAATTTATGTATATTTAACATTTTGAAACATATCGACGGAAGAATATTAATTAATATGCATTCGACCAATCTTAATAGCGTTTGCAAAATTATCTTGTATTAAATAATTTTATTCTTTTATTTATTAAATCATTGATAAATGTAAAAAAAAAGGCTATAATGCATTATAAATTAATGAATAACGTTAAACAAAACACATTTATAACGCCGATTAATAATTTAACGATCATCAAAGGTTCATTTATAAATTAATCTACCGATACTTATTTAATGAGTAAACGCGTTTCTTTAGTGCAACTACCACTTACTTCCTTTCTTTTTCTTCTTTTTGCTCTTATTATCAGATTTAGGTTTAGGTGGTGTTTGCTGATGTTGAGCGGTAGATTCCTGTTGCGCAGTATTAGCACCACCACTAGCTGCTGCAGATTGATTCTCAGAAACCACACTACAAAGAACAAATAAATATATAAAACTTTATGATTTTGCATCAAAAATCATTCGAGAAAAGATTAAAGTCGATTACCTTTTTCCTGCTATATTAGCACTTCCGGTACCACCAATGCCACCACCAGCGATAGCAGCGCCTTGGGAACCACTTTTCATTAATTGTTTACGTTTTCCTTTTGCTTTAAAAGTAGACCTTTCGCGTTTAGGTAACCAACGTTCGGGATCCGGAGGTATGCTAGGATCATAACTCTTTGGTAGAAGAGGTTTTCTCTTTCTTTTTTTCGTGTGAGTCTTTTGAGAAGGTCCATCACTACATTATAGAACGTTAAAGGCAATTCATCAACAACTTCAAATAGCAATTTTGTGGAATTACCTTTTATTATCAGTTTTCTTGTAACTCTTCTTTATACCAGGTACGAGTTTTTCAATAGAATCCACATCAATATCCATGCCATCACCAGAATTGATTTCCGGTAAAGAATTCACATATTTTTCGGCCTTTTCAATATCGTAATGAGAATAAGCTGATACTAAACCAGCTATTGCCTGTGTATCTAACGGATCAACTTTGACAAGTTGTTCGTAATCTTGTGCAGCTTCTTGATAACGTCCCGTTTTAATTTTAAACGATGCCGTTTGTTTAAGAATTGATGTGCTTTCATTCGACTATAAATGATCGGTTCAAGAGAGATATCAAAAGGTTGACAAAATTATTACTGAAAAAGTAGATATGATATAAACTTACTGAAGTATTTTTCCAAAAAGTACCAGCATCTTCTAAAGTTTTAACGGCTTTATCATGCATACCGGATTGTTCGTAGAGCCAAACTAATAGACCAACATAACCTGATTTATAACGTTGCTTATCAACTTTAATAGATGATAAATGTTTTTCAAAAGTTTCTAATGCATTATTTGGATTTGATGTTAACAATTGTAATTGCATTAACGCAAAATTTATATGTAAAGATTCGGGTTTTTGCTTGGCAAATTCTTGTAAATCTGATATCGATTTGTTAATTTTTTTTTGTAGAAATGATGTTGACGCTATTAATAAATATAAATCATCATTCTCCGGATAGGTTTGTAATGATTTACGAGCCAAATCTTGACATGCCGCATACTATAAATAAATAAAAAAAAAAAAAGGAAATTTATTATAATTTGCCCAAAAGAAATGAATTTCCAAGGAAATACGACACGACTTGCCTTGTGCATATATAATAAAAGTAAGGCTTCATTCATAGCGATTACACGCTTTTGTCCTCTAAATAATTTTGCATCTAAATTTTTTGAACTTGCAACCCTTAATTTCCTTGCAGAATCAAATAGTTCAGTATCTTTTTTGGCGGCCACTAAATTATTTGATGCAATAGCGGATGCTGATACATCCATTCCTTTTACTTTGAGAACGCTTTGATAAATTTCAATCGCTTCCGAAATTTTTCCTTGTAATTGATAAACGTATCCTAATTGAACTTTGATCGTTCCCAGTTCTATTTCTATCTTATCTTCTGTGTAATCTTCTGATAAAAGTGATTTTCTGCACATATCTATTACCAAAAAAAAAAAAAAAAAATGGTAAAAGTGTTAGCCAAGTTAGGAAAACTTCGATAAAATGAAATTAATTCTACGCACTTTTGGCCGTGTTTAATAATTTTTCGGCTTTCCCGTAGTCTTTCAGACCAATATATGTACAAGCTGTATTATAAGCTAACTCATAAGTATCAAATGAATCCATCATCGCATACTGAATTACATATTTAAAAATTAACGAAAAAAAAAAAGGGAGGGAAACAATTTTCTATAAAAACTTTTTACAACACGTACCTTCGCGTCTAAATCACCACCTGAAAATAATAAAGCCGCTTTAGCAGCATTGAAATTAGTAAGGATATCGTTATAAACATCTAAATTCTAAAATCAAGAGAGTGTGTTATTAATTAAATCACGTGTAATAAACCGTTTTTTCTTTATAGTACCTTATCGGTTTCTTTTAGTAGCGCATAGTAAATCTCAATCGAGGAATTGTAATCCTCGGTTTTGTAGGCCTATTAAAAAATTTATTGAAATATTTGAAATATTCAATTCATAATCACTACTTTAAAAAATAAACTATATAATATATAAACGCACCACTTGAGCTTCTATATGCCTTAAACTTAATTCATTCTTATTTCCTAATTTATATTGTCTTAATAAATTTAATAATTCATCGAATTTATTTAACCTATAAAAACAATAGGCTTTTTCTGATATTAAATTCTCATCCGAAAAACTTTTTTGTAAAAGTTCCAATGCATTCTGATATTTTCCTAATCTTATGTATGATATTACTTTACAATGTAATGCATCATTATCTTCTGGATTTAATTGAAGAACTACATCAAATAAAATTTTTTTTTCGAGAAAAGAATGAAAAATTAATTGAGGAATTAACCTTTAAATTTATTACAAAAAATTAGGCAACCATAATTACTTTTATCAATGGATCTAAGAACTTTCGCATACTCTTCTTGACTAACAAGTCTTTCAACATCCTTGAATAGTTGAGTAATAACTTCTTTGGAATCTGCCATTTCTTCTAACGCTGACGAAAAATTGATCATCCGCTTATAAAGATTTATTGTAACACATGCGGTTCATGATTAGATTTGAATAACCAATCAAACTTTACCATCATATATTTAACGAGAATCGGTTTTTTTTTTATAGTTTCTTTCTCCCAAAAGAATTGAAGAATCATGACAAACGAATTAAATAAAGATGAACAAGGTTTACTTTAATCGATCTATACACTTCAAAACCCATTGCATGACAAAGTAACAACTAACCTTTTCCTTTTTTTATTTTTTTTTATTTCCTAGGTATCAAATTAGACGAAGAAACAATAGACTCCATTTTTGGTACATTATCACTCGATAAATATCAACAAAACTCAAAACGTACCACTGCAAAGGGAAACTTAAAACTTCAACGTTCCCCATTTGATGAATTCAAAATATCTTCAACAGCAATTCTTGATACGTTGAATTCAAGGAGTCTTTGTCCTAAATGTACCCGTTCTATGAAATTTTTTTGTTATTGGTGTTATCAAGTTGTTGGCTGTCAAAGAAGTGATGTTCCTTACCTTAAATTACCTATTAAAATTGATGTGTGGGATCTCAATTTATTATTATTATTTTTTTATCTTCCAAAGAAAAAAAAAATGAGTTTTCTAATGATTCTCTATTTAATTGTGTAAAAAAAAAAAAATTAGAATTAAACATTCAAAAGAATTGGAAGGTAAGTCCACAGTAGCACATGCAAAGATTATAGCTCCAGATGATGTTTCCATATATTCCAACTTAGAAATTCCCAAATATGAAAATCCAAACAGATTATTATTACTTTTCCCTGGTCCAGTAAGTATCAAAAAAGTTTTTTATCTTCAAACAGGTTTATCATAATAATAATAATAATATAATAAACCTTAGGATTCAAAAACTTTGAATGAAATTCCAAAGGATTCATTTGATAAATTGTTAGTAGTAGATGGTACATGGCAACAGGCAACAAGCTTAACAAAATTTACAGAGGAATTAAAAAACATAAGAAAGATTACCATAAAACCACAAAAAACCCTTTTTTGGAGATATCAAAATAAGAGCGAGAATCATTTAGCCACCATCGAGGCTTTATATTATTTTTTAAAAGAATATTGTGAGGTTTATGAATCTAATAATTCACCTGATCATCGTTATGATGGTAGATATGATGATCTTCTATGGTATTATAAATATTTATATGAATTTATACAAGCTACTTATAGAAATGATAAAAGTAAAAAACCTTATACTACAAGACATCGTCAGGGATATATCGAATACGATGAATAAATATTAACGGTTACAATGTAATCCGTTTTTTTATTAATTAAATTTTATTTTTCTCACATTAAATTATAAATATCAGATATTAAAAAGTTCTTTTAATTTTTTAACGGTTTCTTCGGGATTTTTTACGGAATGTCCTATCACTTTAGGATGCATATAAATTTCATAATCATTTCCTCCCTGCAAATTAAAAGTTCAAAATTTTTAACAAAAAAATTATTTTGATACTGTCAAAACTAACGCTTGGCAATTCTTACCTCGTAAGTTTTATCACCAAAAAAGTGAATCTTTTTAAATCCTTCAGACTCAATATGATCGAGACAATAAGTTTTATCCCACCCTGTGGGGAACACATCAAAAGATATCTGACCTCCTAATATTTTAAATGGGAATTTAATTAAGAAATAATTTAAAGATTTCCCCCTCCACTTTTTTTTTTTGATCGCATACCAATCGAAAATGTCAGAGAATAATCCGGAAAAGCATCTTTTAATGCTTGCACAAATTTAGGTCGAATGTTATGAATTTTGTCATATGCCTCAAATTCATTCCGTTCTTCCATACTACAAGATGATGATTTTATTAAATTATTTCTGTGGATTCAAAACTTCCATATTTTCCTACCTGCAGTTTCTTCCAATGGGCGAAACATTAATCATTCCATTCCTGAACTCTATGAATGTCCCACTGAATTGAAAGTTAATTTATTAGCGATTTAAAAATATTGAATATTTACGTGATCAAATTTATATCTAATATCCGCTCTTACCGTTTCTTTGGAAGATCAAGGTCCGCGATGTATTTCAAAATGAAATTAGCCAATTTAGAATATTTCTCCTCACCTATCCAATCAATGAAACTCTAATAAAAAAAGAATAATAAACTTTAAAATAAATTCAATCAATTAACTACTTGAAGTGTTTCGATGTTATACTTGTGACGCGAGTTGTTTTCCTAGTCTATAGGCAGTAAGTCCATTCTCAGAGAATGCAAAGTCGAATTCGTTAATAGCTATTGAGAAATTTTTTTTGAATTAATTATACTAACTAAAAAAGGAGAATTCAAAGTTAAACGTACCATTTTGTCCAAGTTGTTCTTGTTGCTTTGCAATATCAGAGCCACCTACAAACCCGACGACTACCTTTTTTTTCAAAATTTTAAGTATTTCCGCAATTTCTGGTGTTATTTTCTACGTTTAGCAACTCTACAATTATTAATTATCTCGGAATACAATTTTTTACTTTTAAAAAAAAAAAAAAAAAAAAAAAAAAAAAAACTAACCCTACGAGCCGGTGTTAGAGTACCATCTACATCGAACAAGACGATTGTATCAGGATGTTCACGAACTTGCCACTCCGCCATGAAAAAAAACTATGAAAGAATTTGTAATTTAACCTTGTTACAACATTTGTTTTGAACTGTACGACACTTTTTTTTCAATTGCTAGATTATTCCATTTGTATGCCGTGTAACAATGATCCCAAAACTCCGAATTATTTAAGAACTTCGAAATCATTTCCCTTTAAAGTTCGACACGATTTTCACAAAGTTTACATTCTGATTTCCCCCAAAAGGTACTATGTCAACTCCTTCTGCATCACCACAAAAGAAACGAAGGTTATCAAACCCTTTGGCAGAAGGTTAGTATATCCTTTAGAATCCTTTCTTACTATTAACTGCTTTTATTAACGTTTTATTCGTGATCTGTATAGATCGCAGAGTTGAACCAACAAAAAAAGTACGTTCTCATTATTGCGAAATTGTAAAACTACATTAATGCTAATATCCATTTATTTATAGGCGAAGCAGGATAACTCAAATGGAGGAATTTCTAACGCGATCACTAATAAAACGGAGATACCTTTACCAATTTTACCAACACTGCCTATTAAACCCAATGTTGGTAGTAACTCAAATGCTCGCGCTGGTACTAGTACTTCAGCTTCTTCCAATAATAATGTCCAGCCGAATACTACAGGACAGAGCAGTAGTAATAACATATCAATTAGCACTTCTGAGATTAACAGTAATAAAGACAAAGAAAAGGATCAAATGTCTGCTTCTACAACAAGTCCGACATCTCCTGTTAAAGGCAAAGGTATGCAACAACAGCAAACACATCAAAGAACAACTTCAATTTCTTCAACATATACACAGCAATCCAGTACACCAATGTCACAAATACCTCCACAAGAATTATTTGTTCGTTATACAAAGAAAGAAGAAGAAATTCAAACATTGCTAGTATGTTTAATTACAGTAAATTTATTTTTTATAATAATAATATAATGCTAAATTACTTAAATTTTATAAAGGGGGAACTTCAAACACTTTCTCAGATTCTTACACCTGAATTTTCATATGATTCATCGCTTCGTAAAAAATTTCTTGATCCTGCTATTAATGCATTATTTCGAACAATGAAAAAAGAGCTGGAAGATAAAGATAAATTACTTGAAAATTTACAAAGGGAATTAGATGGTGTTAGTTTTACTCCAAATAGGTGTGATATATATTATATTATTTATTATTATCTTTAAATACGAATTAATAATCATATACAAACTGTGGGGGTACAGTATTACAGGTAAAAAACTTGTCGCAAAGTTACTTGCTTTGCAAAATGAAAATGAGGAATTAGGTAGACAACTTCGACAAGGACGCGTTGAGCAATATGAAGTAGAAATAGCTTTACAACGAAAAGTTATAGATGAACTTAAACAAGGGCTTGAGGGTATTATATATTTGAATTCGCGATTGATCCCTTTTTTTTTCGCTTGGTCGAACTTACTTATCGTACTTAATGTACGTAGAATCGGATAATCAACTTATATCTTTGGATGCAGAAATGGAAAGATTACAAAATCTTTTGTTTCAAATGAGAGCAAAAGTTAAAGGTTATGAAGAAAAATATGGTCCTTTAGAAACGGATAATAAAGATGATGATGTTGCAGAAACTTCAACTAAAACTTTGAAAGAGGTAAGTGAAATTGATAAAAATGATTTTGATGATGGTACAGTACATTGAGAATCTCAAAAAAATGAAATTCTCAATAGTGACTAACTTCGGATCACTTTTATTTATACATTTTATTTTGTTGTATAATTTAATTAAAACTAAAAAAATTAATAAATATGGGGTCGTATGCTATTAAAGTCAAGTTACTATGCATAGTAAATCATATTATCTGAACATGATTATGTAAGTTTATTCTATAATTTAAAGTTACAATTATTATCATTTGCATATTTTAATATTTTATATATTTACTAAATCTGAGTCGGTTCTTAGTTTATTACTTAAAAGGTTAATTAAAAATGAGAAACTTAAAATTATATTTACAAAAAATTCTTAAATTCTTTTTAAAATTAATTTTATTTAAAAATTTAATGAAAAGATTAATTTTATTATTTAAAGTAAAAATAAAAAAAAATAATAAATTGGTTTATAATTAATTTTATTAAAAAAAAAAAAAAAAAAAATTCTAAATTTTTATTTTATATATATATAAAAAAGAAATTTAAGTTAAAAAGTATTATTATTATTTTAATTATTTTTAATAAATTTGAATTATTTAAATATATCATATATTTAATTTAAGTTTATTTATTATCAGATCAAATAATTAAAAATAGGCAAAAATAATCAAAAAAACAATAAGTTTTGATATAAATTGTATAAGTTAATTTATAAAAATTCACAAATATACTTAAATAAATAAAAAAAATAATTAAAAATAGTAAAAAATAATTATAACCAAAAAAAATATTATTTTTATATCAAAAAATCATTATTTGATTTGTAATTGTTAAATTTAAATAAAAAAATTTTTTCTAAAAAATTTGCTATATTAAGATTTTATATAATTTTAAAATTTAAATAATATCAATTTAATATTAACAATAAAATAATATAATAAATTTCAATAATTTTTTAAATTTTAAATTTTTTCAATTTTATTTTTTAATCTTTAATATATATTATTTTATGTATATCTTATATAGAAATTTTAAACAGTATTTAAGTAATTCTAAAAGTTAAACAAATTATAAATAATGATTTTTTTTATTAAACTTATTTATTATAGAGATATATTATAAAAATAAATAAAATTTTTGAAATTTTAAATTTTAAAATATAAGATTAAACTAATTCTATATTAAGATCCTATCAAAATTGTTATTTTGAATATTATTTTTTTTATATATATTAGAAAATTTATATTAATTTTTAATTGTAGTTATTTATATAAATAAGTAATTAAATTTCTATTAAATTAATAATTTTTAAATTATAAAAATAAATTAAGAATTATTAATTATATATATTTATATAAGTTTAAAGCTTTATTAAAATTAAAATTTAAAAATTTAAAGTATTTTATTTCTAGTATATATTACTTAAGAATTATTAAATTTCTTTAACTTTATGATTAAAATATATTATAATTATTTTTCAATTAATAAACTTTTCAATTTAAAATAATATTTACTTAATTACTAAATTTTAATATATTATTAATAATTTAATTATATTTTTATATATTATCTATAAAAATGTAATATATTTATCTTTAAAATAATTTATTATACTATCTTATTCAAATAAAATATTTAAATTTTAAATTATACTTAAGAAATATTATTTATTTTTTAATTTTTTTAATAAAGTTAAAATAAAATTAGCAATATTTTTTTATGATAATACATGTGATTGTGATTAATAGCTAAATAATTAAAAAAATTTACTAATGTAAAATTTGAAAAATGTAAAAATTCAAATAATTTAAAATATATAATAATTTATTTTATAAAGTATTTACAGTAGAATATATAAAAGATAAATAAATAAAACATTATTATGATATTTAAATGTAATTAATAGATGCAAAAATAATTAAATTAATCAATTTTATTTTATAATTTAAAGTTCATTATAAAAAATAAATGATTTTTTTTAAGTTTAGCTAAAATACCAATAATTTTGAAATGATATTTTATATTTAAAACTTTAAGTTTATTTAATTAATATAAATATTTCTCTTTACTAATTTTAATTTTCAAACAAAATTGAAAAATAATTACTTTAAATAATAATATTTTTAATTTTATTTGGTAATAATGATATGATTACTAATTAGATAACTTTTTTTTTTTTTACTTTGTCTATCAGTTTTTTTTTAGCATTGAAATCTTAAATCTTTAAAAGTATACATTTTTATTAATTACTTTTAATATTGAATTATTTAAAATTTTTTTTGTTATAAAATTTATTTTAGTAGATTTTTTATTCTTATATACAGTATATATATTTTTTATAAATTATAATCTTAGTATTTTTATTAAAAAAATTTATTAATATATTTTTACTTTTTATTTTTAAAAAAAAATGGTATTATTTTTTTTAAAATTCTAAATTAAGTTTTTAAAAAGCTTTTTTTAAAAATATTAATTTTAAATAAAAAAAAAAAAAAACTTGTTTAAAAGAGTGCTGTTTAAATTAATAGATTTTTTTTTTTTTTATTTATTTAAAAATAATTTTTATTTTTATTTTTTAAAATTATACATTAATTACTTTTTATATTAATTTAGGATTAAAAGTTTTAGATTTTTTAATAAAATTTTTATATATTATTATAGGGTTTCCGTTTGAAAATAGAATATTCGAATATTTATTTGTAAATAAATAAAATTCAAATATTCGAAAATACATAATTAATATTCGGATATCGAAAATCGAAATTCGATCGATTATTTATTTTAAAATAAACGAAATAAATAATAAAAAAAATATATATATATAAAAATAAAGCTAAAGCTTATCTAATCGAAAAATTTAAAAGTATGTAAAAAAACCAAAAAACAAAAAAGGAAAATGCGAAAAAAAAAAAATATTCAATATCGGATATCCGTATCCGAATTGATTTTCGAAATTCGAAATCTATTTGATATACGAAATGTTCGATATTCATTTGAAATTATTTTAAAAAAAAACTTTCAAATGCAATTTGTATTTCAAACGGAGACCCTATATTATTATAATAAAAAATTTTGTATATATTCAATTTAAAATAAGAATTATATATATAATAAAAAAAAAATATTGAATTTTTATTTATATTTAAATACATATTACATTAAGTAAATAAATTTATTTAAATCTTATAATTAAGTTTATTTTAAAATAATTATTAATTATTTAAACATATAAAAAAAAAAATACCGAATATACATTATTAGCCAAATTCGGTACTATAAATATCAAATATTCGCTATACTTTTTAAAATTTTTTTTCACATGCAGAGTCCATAAGTTTGATGTAAAAAGCATTCATTAGTTTTTTGTATCACCCAAGCTTTGTTTATAGACATTCCAATTAACTTTTGTTTCAACGAATTTTCTTTAATGAATCACATGTATAATAAAGAAATTTTCATGGTTAAAAGGAAAAAAACGACAAATATTTATTTTTTTTAGATTAATCGTATGACATCTTTTTTTTTTTTAATTTTCGCGTGAAATCAATAACCCTTGTCCAACAAGAGAACGCTCATTATGTTCGAGCTAGAAATTAGCCGAGGCCCCGGTTTCCTTTTTTTAGAAGGGTCGATCGGACTTTTTTTTCCCTCTTTACTTTCATTATTCCGAATATGTATCTATTTGTGCTGAGATTTCGAGATTATTAAAATCTTGTGGTACGGGTTTCAATTTTTTTTGAATTGGCGATTTCTAAATCAGAATTCATTAAAAAAAAAGTTCGGAGTCGCAAAAGCGGAAATAATATATATATATATATATGTATGTAATCAGTTTTTTTTTTAATACAATTCATTAAATGACTTAAAAAGCCATTCCTTTTTTTATTTTGAATAAATTCAGGAGATTGCATCATTATGTCTGTAATTAAGGCTGCAATTAACCGAGCGCATATCTTGGTGGATTATAATCTTCACAAAGATAGGCATGTACGACACAAATTTAGAATAGATACTATCCTTAAAGATAAATTCCTAAATGACGACGAAAAAGAAGAGGCGAAAAAGATGTTGATGAAAAATTACGATCGAGATAGAATCGTCTTTAACGAGGGAACGGAAAGGATTTGCAAAAGTTGTTCATTAAAATGTTTAGCAATTTTATATTGTGAACATTGCGTTCGAAATTATCTAAGGTCAAAATTTTCGAGTTGGACGTCAAGTCATATCGATATTGATGAGCTAATACAGGAATATCAAAAGAAAACGATCAGACCAGATGCGATAATTGAATGGATCCCTTATGACAAATTACAAAAAATTGAATTTTTTACTAAAGGCGGATGCTCCGAAATTTATACTGCGGATTGGGTTGATGGATATTATCATGAATGGGATAGTAAGGAACGACGATTAAAGAGAACTGGAACACGACAGGTGATACTTAAAAAATTAGAAAATATTGAAAGCGCGAATCAAAGTTGGTTTGATGAGGTACGTAACATTGCTGTTTTTTTTTTAAAACACAAAAAAAAGACGATAAACATAAATTTGATTTGATAGGCTAAATCACATTTATCTATAAGCAATAAATGGCTGAGTATTGTCCAAAGTTACGGGCTGACGCAAAACCCCAATGGAACTTATATGCTTATAATGGATCGGATGACCACGGATTTGAGAAGATACCTGCATCGACGTAACCAAATTACATGGAACGAAAGAATTAGAATTACTTTTAATATCATATATGCACTTTATAGAATTCATGAGGAGGGAGCCATTCATAGAGACCTGCATTCTGGAAATATATTATATTCACAACATAATAATGAATGGTATATTAGTGACCTTGGATTTTGTGGCCCAGCAAACAAGTCACAGAAAGAAATATATGGAAATCTTCCTTATATAGCACCAGAAGTTATTTATGGAAAAGGATATACTTTTAAATCTGACATTTATAGTATCGGTATGCTTATGTGGGAAATTTCATCCAGGCAATCTCCATTTATTAATCGTGAGCATGGTTATGACCTTGTGATGAATATCATCAATGGTATGAGACCAAAGATCGTATCAGAAACTCCTATTGAATATCAAAATTTAATGAAAAAATGTTGGGACGCTGATCCATCAAAAAGACCCGATATTTTTGCTCTTTATGAAGAAATCCGAGAAATCATAAAGCCATATATATCAGATAATCTTTCTCAATCAGAAATAATTGATTTAGAAGAACCAGATATTTCTTATAAAAACAGCAGAATATATACTAGTCAACAACTTCAATCTTTCAACTTTTCTGAACCAAGGAATGCGACAGAAGGTATATTTATTTAATCTTTAACTATTGACTTTCATTATTGGGCTAAGAGTAATAATATTATTATTATTATATGAATATTACTTATTTCAATGAAAATAGAGGAGCAAGAAGGTATGTATAAAGTTAAATTAATATACAAAGTAAGGCTTTAATCATCATGAATCATGTTATAATAACTTTATCATTAGAATTTCATAGTAAATTTATTAGCTATAACATTCCTAGTAATAGTAAGTGTGTTTTATGAAATATTTATAATTATTATATAATATCATTCTTTCTTGACCTTCTTTTCTTTTTAGTTTATGATTTAGATAAATCAAGCAATCATCATCATGTCAAAAAATATAACAATTCAAAAGGTATTTGTCAATGAGTGGCATTGAAAAAATCTAGTTTATTTATTATTTATTTATGCATTATTAATTATTATTTTTGATAACTTAGATAATGGCAGGCTTCTAAGTAGTAAGTTAATATATCAATAAATTCCTTAAATCTTTTATTAAAATATAATTTTTTTTTATTGTAGTTCCAGATGAGTATATAAGGTTGAAAAAATCAAATATTAATATTGATGGTACGTATAAACTAAATTTTATAATAGTTTAATATATGTTCTAATTCTATTTTATGTCATGTTTTTTTATAGATGATGAAATATACAATAATCCAAATCAACATCCAGAAGAACAAAATGAATTGGAAATTCCTATTGGTGAATATGATTTGAAATTATAACATTTTTTAAATTAATATATTTAATTACTTAATTTTGCATTATTATTATTTTTTTTAGATGTTCAGACCTCTACAATTGTGATAAGAATCTCGTGTTCAGATAAATAAAACTATCTCATATAGAAAATTTAGAAATCATTTTTTTATACATATTTATTTAATTTAAACATTAAGAGAAATATAATAGTCAGTGGCAAGGTGATCTTAGTTTTGTAATTAAATAATAATTTTTTTTTTCTTTATGGAAGTGTTCGGTACTTGAAACGTTTTGAAATCAAAAATTACTACTCCATTCTTAATAATAAAAAAATAATACTTAAAGTGTATTTCAAACGAAAACCCTAGTTATAGTATTAAGTTTTTTAAAAGAATTTTAAATAAATATCTAAATAATTTTGGACATTTCAGATATCTGATATTGAATATTTATTTTTTTTTCGCATTTTTCCTTTTTTTGTTTTTTTGTTTTTTTGTTTTTTCACATACTTTTAAATTTTTCGATTAGATTAGCTTTAGCTTTATTTTTTTATATTCTTTTTTTTTTATTTATTTTATTTATTTTAAAATAAATAATTAATCGATAAGATCGATCGAAATGATTGATAGATTTTTGATATTTGAAATTGATTTCAATAATCGAATATTAATTATGTATTTTCGAATATTTGAATTTTATTTATTTTTTTATGCTACAAGGTTAAAAGATAGAATTATCTCATTTACAAAATTGCATTTCAAATATTTGAACATTAGATTTTTATACATGATCACATGACCAAAAAATATTAGGAAAGTAATCATTCAAAAAAAGAAATCTTTTGGAAATATGAATTGAAATCTATAAAGTCAATCGCTAGATTTTAAAGTCAGTTGGTCGTCTTAAAATGAAAATGCTAGAATAACTGGAAATGATCTAAAGGCAATGATAGATATTACCTAATATCATATTAATATAAGCGCCTACCTCCTTCCCCCAGATAAGATATGCTGCGGAGTTACGTGATATGATTTTTTATATCTGACGAAATAAAGTTAATAAAGTGATCAAAAAAAAGTTTATTATAGTTTATATAGTGTGATGATTATAGTTTATATAGTTTATTATAGTCTATATAGTGATAAATAAAAAAAAAGATCATAGTTTATAGAAGTTTATAGTCTAAATCTAGCAAATTTGAAAGAAGTTAATTTATTAAGAAAATTCATTTATTAAAAAAAAATGAAAAATTCATGAAAATCTTTTCCAAAAATTAGCTGCAGATTTTATTTAACATTCGCAAAATTTCAACGTACTTATTTTGCGTTTGACTTGCAAAAATTCTCTTCTAAATATTAAAAATGAGCTGTCAAACATTTTTTTTTAGCCCTAAATTTAATAAAAGCCAATTTATAATTCACCAATTAATAAATATCAAGAGTTTATAAATACCTATATATATAATATTATGGTAAAAACAAGTAATCATACTCCCAATCATGCTGATGTTTGTCAAGAAACCATAAATAAGTGGAATGGTATTAAGAAGAAGAGTGTTGATGATATTGATAGTATAATTTAGAACTATATGACCACACCACTTAATCTATATGACATACAATCAATAAGATATAAACGTTCCATATTTAGAGAAAAATCGAATCCTTCCTCCCCTTCCATTATTCGTTCAGTGGATCTTTTATCAAAAATTCCTGCTAATGCTTTAGCTTAAAAAAGGGTAGCAGATGCAATTTAAATTGCTAAAAAAAATATTTACGAATACGAGCAGATTTATAATATTACTAGTGATGCTCAGATTCGTAATGACATATACCACAAAATAGAAAACTTGCGAGATGAAGTTAAATTTAATAAAGATAGAATTGCCAAGTTAAAAAGAAATGCTAAATATACTCAAAATTGTAAGGAAAAAAATTAAGACAACTTATTAAAAATCATGAGATTGTTCGCTACAATAAACCTGAAAAGCCACTGTTTCTCTTCAAACATCTAGATCTACATGAACACATACACGATTATGTGGAATTTGGATCAGCTGATGCAAAATGATGGAAAGAGGCTGTCAAAGTTCGGATAGTAGAAAATCTGCGTAAAAATCTTGAGGAAAGATACGAAGTTTACATGTGAGGATTACATTAAATAATTATCTTTTACCTCACCAATCAAACTCAATCACCGCAAAAGCGCATCACCATCTGGCTTAGATTACAGTTTCTGGAGTTTCACGTACTGAGATGTGTGAATATCCTAACAGCCATTATTGCTTCGCATCGATAAAGTGTACAAAGCAATTCGCTAGCACTTTTGCTGATATGTCAGTCATCATCTCTCAAGATGACAAAGCGAAAATTAGACTTGGGATACCTGCGGTAGGTCGTACATTCTGCACATTACAATCTATTAATGAACCTACGACCGTAGTAGACCATGATTTTTCTATTAGATTTGGACAAAAATTAATCCTGTCAGTATATTTGATGATAAACCCAAACGAATCTAATGATAAATTGTGAACAGGAAAGTTAGCAATTTTTATACATTTCTAATTGTCTCTTAGCACATCTTCGCTTACACATATGCAAGACCTGGAAATCCTTACTTCAAATTCTCAATACGATGATGTGCTGAAAATAAATGGAATAGTTCGACCAATTTGGATTTTATTGGTAGATGGAGGGCCAGATGAGAATCCTAGACATTTAAAAAATATCAAAGCCTATTGTCAGCTTTTCAAAAAGTTTGATTTAGATTTTTTAAGCATATGAACACATGCCTCAGGTCAGTCAAAGTATAATCCAGTTAAAAGAGGCATAGCAACATTGTCTGGTAAACTCGCTGGTATTACTTTGCCAATTGATCATTTTGGTGTACATTTAAATACACAAGGCAAAGTTATAGATCTGAACTTAGCCGCTCAGAATTTTCATTATTCGGGAAAAGCCTTCTGTGAAATTTAGCGTCATGATTTGATCTTTGGAAAGAAGGTCGATGTTTATTATGTTGATGTACTCACAAATCTATTTGAGCACATAGAGTTCAAGAGAACGGAAAAAGAAAAGGTTGAAGAATTAAAAAGGAGAAAAAAGGAAGAATAAAAAAATCAAATGATATAAATAAAGAAGTAATACATATCCATTTTGAATGTTTTGTACCATGGTCTTAGATCGAAACTCACTGTAATTTGTGCACCTATTCTCTTGATATCAAACGATGCACAAATACCAATGCTGTAAATCACCTAAAGCTAAAAAAGCCATAGACTTTCTTCATTTGTATAATGGTTTCTTACCACCAATTACTAAAGTCAAAGATGGCCGATTTACAAACCTGATTCATCTTCTTCAGTATGAAGATCTCTTGAAAATATCAGGTTATGATGCTTATTGTGCATCTATTGAAAAGAATACATATCTACGACTTTGCTGCCCTATTTATCAAAGTATTTTCCTACTCTTACATTTTTAGCAAATCATAAACAATCTATGCATCCTACTACTTGAGGACGGCCTAAAAGACAACAAAACTCATCTTTTGACAATTTTTCCCTTCTTCTATCTTAACAAAAGAGGTTATATGATGAAATGGAATTTGAACTAAGAGTTTGCAATTCAAATGGAGAATGAATAAATTTTACGTATATGCAGCCTAAATGCATACGGCTTAAATGTATGCTAAATGTATGCAATAATAACTTTTGCTAAGTCACTTTATCAAATGATTTTCATGTGATCAATATTTTATTACGTGCTATTGCTTATTTATTATCAGGGGAATCTTAACCTGCACCAGGGGTCTAGGATTTTAACCTGAACCCTCCAAATTTGATTGGTTTATCATGATCCCAGCCACATTAATTAATTATTTGTTTACTGTTTACCATTACGCATGATAATAAATCTCTCTTTCACA